TAGCCATTCAAGCGCCAAGAACTCGAGATGCAGTGTCGTCTTTGACCAGGTCTCGGTATGTAATGAAACTATGTTTTATTGCTACTTTTGAGTACTTAGATGGTTAAAAAGAGTTTCCATGCTTTGAGGCATTTATTTAGCCCAAAATTAATCGGTATCTCGTGATTTACAGCTCGGTAAATCGAATGTTAGGCCGGAGTGTTTCTAGTCTCCTCCGCAGCCGCTTTTTGCGATGTCACGCAACCCTCCCCCGAAAGAATCCGATTTACATTCCTTTGCCGAAATTAGCCAATCGCAGCTTCGGTTTCATTTTCAAGGACCTTCTAGCGCCAAATTTGAAATTCGCCTTTTGAGACCTGTCCAATCAGAGACTGTTTTTTAACTTTGCATCACGTCATGGGAAATGTCAGAAATCAACAGTGTGGAAGGCATTTAAAGGGGAGGGACGAGGGGAAACTAGAAGTGCGAAGTGCAATTGGAGGGAGAGGGAAGTGACTGCATGCAAGCACATCAATGTTTTTTCATTTGACCCCTTGTTAAATATGCAAAACCCAGAAAGCTGTGAAATGTCTGGCCGTCAAATGGTCCAATTATCTAGAATCGTCCCACTTTGCCACAGATCCCTGTCGGGTTCTTTAATTTCTTGTTTTTCTTGCCTCCTTGCTGCAACGAAATGACAGAACAAAAAAAAAATAGACATTTTATAAGCACTGATTTAAGGAGGCTGGCAATAGTCTCCAACACTTTTCTAACAGCTATACTTTGAAGGATTAAGACTACCACTGATTAACAAGTGATGCTACAATAATGGTATAACACAAATGCCCGATGATTGGTGAACAAGTTGCTCTCATCCTTTTTTTAAAACAGGTTACTATAGCAACAATACAACCAGTTAAAACAGAATTAGTTTTAGCTTTAAGTGCTTATAACTCAAAAACAAGGTCAGTGACCTCCATTTTTATTTTCAAATTGTGATGAGCATGAAAAGGTGCAACTTTTTGCAAAGTTAAAAAAAATTCTGTGTTGAGGGTTCAGAGCTATCTCAACCCTGAACCCTCTCCACCAAATTTTTGTAAACTTCATGGGAAAAGTGGGCAGTGAGGGGGTGAAGGCAGAAGGAGGGAATAAATGCCTGCCTGCAATGGCTGTGAAAATGAGAAACACCTAATTAGTTGCACTTCAGTGATCTCCCGGAAATGATGGATGGATGAATGANTGCAACTTTTTGCAAAGTTAAAAAAAAATTCTGTGTTAAGGGTTCAGAGCTACCTCAACCCTGAACCCTCTTTACAGAATTTTTGTAAACTTCGTAGGAAAAGTGGACAGTGAGGGGGTGAAGGCAGAAGGAGGGAATAAATGCCTGCCTGCAATGGCTGTGAAAATGAGAAACACCTAATCAGTTGCACTTCAGTGATCTCCCGGAAATGATGGATGGATGAATGAATGACTGAATGAATGAATAAATGAATGAATGAATGGATGAATAAATGAATGAATGAGTGAGTGAGTGAGTGAGTTGAGTGAGTGAGTGCATGCGTGTGTGCGTGCGTGAGTGAGTGAGTGAGTGAGTGAGTGAGTGAGTGAGTGAGTGAATGAATGAACTTTATTTAATTTTCAGAGTGTTTAGCTAGATCAACCAGCCAATCAAATTGAACATTAAAAAAAGCTAAAATGCACTTCCAATAAAAACAAAAATAAAAAACATCAGAGAGAACACAATTGCTATGTAGCGTATTTATAAATCAAAAAGACTCCTAGTGATAATTGTAAGCTTTCAAAATGAAGTTTTGACATAAAGGCAAACAAAGCCATTCTTCCTCTGAGAATATTTTCAAACTGTTGAAACGGCAGGACTGCTTTGGAGTTGTACTAGCCAAAATTTGCAGCTAAGTTGGTTAAATTAATGCCATTGGCGCAAGATTGTTGCAATTGTCTGATTGTTTCTACAACCCGTTGTGGCCTGAAATTCACAACTTACCAATAAATCTCTGACAAGGACACTGATTAAAAGCAATTAACGTACTTGAAATTCTGGAGAAAGCAAGTCCAACATGGAGGAAATCAAAATGAGTACATGCCAATTTACCAGCAACCAAGAAGCTGTCATGGGAAGATTCTCCTATGTTCGATTGTTGTGTTCGGGTTCGTGTTTCATGGATTGTGTTCGACTGAGTTCGGCAACTGAACTCAATCATACATGAAAAAAGATCATGTTATGTGGTCTAAAAAACATGAAAAACACTCACTATAGCGAAGTAACATGAGCCTCAAGGAACTTGTTTATGACTTTCAACACCAGTTTTTCAAAAATCAAGCATTTGGAAATCTTTTTGAAATTTCACTCCCTGCCCTCCCCCAACAATAATCCAATCATTATGGACAATCTCTTACATTTGATTTGCTTGTAAAAATTTTCTTGAGTGATTGTTGGAACATATTTGCACACATGTTGATGTTACTATGATTCATACTTGAAAAAGTAGACAGTAGATAACTTATCAAAGTATCTGTATTGTACTTACATTGTATCAGGAAAAACTGAAAAAATGTGATGATATTGGAGTACTGAAAGACTGATGGTGGACTTCAGATACAGCTGCTGTACATATATTAAAGGTAATTTTTGGTATACATGGGAATTAGGAACTGATATAGCAGCTACACGTACCACATGTAGTATTGGTTAGAATTCTGTCTCCTGAGAATTGATGATGGGGACATTGTCATTTTTGAACATGACATATCTTATTGTAGATATGTCAGGACTCCTTTATCACAAGTGTTAAACTTATCTTGATGTGTTAAAGGACCACCATCAGCCAGAGTGCATTGCTGATGGCAAGCTCGCCAGCAATGCACT